ACAGAAACCATAAACAAAAATCAAATAAAAATTTTCATCTTTTTTACTATTTTTGGATCGAGCACAATATTTAGTTTTTCTCCACCAATTTTAACCTTAAAATTCAGTATTTATACGTAACTTATTTCTAATATAGCGGCGATGATCCGGAGAGGATTGGTAGGCAAAACCAAATGTAACTCCAGTATTTTTTTTGATGAATTCAATAAAAATTAGTTTCAATTATAAAGTTTAGAGAAAATAGTAAGAATTCTTTAATTTATTTTTATTATTTTGATGTGAAGTTTGTTTCAAAGTTTTAGGAGAAACATTCATTTCTATAGCCGTGGGCAAAAAAGAGCATGACGAAATTGTTGAACGACATCTCAAAAACGTCGCAAACTCTATAATCCCTGTATATAACAAACTTAGAAGATAATTTGTATGAATATACAGATATATATAAACGAAGATAAACTTCTTTCTTCTAGATTTTTTAAAAAAATTCGAAATCAAAGTTTCCCGTTATGCGTTAAACATACTAAGTGGTTTGAAAAAACTTCATAACATTGAAATTCTTTAGCTATTGCTTTCTAACTTTTTAAGACAGCCAGCAACAATTTTTTAATATAACTGTAATTTTGATTTTCCATAAAATGGTGGAGAAAAAGTAAGAAAATCTGCAAAATTTCATTCTATTTTTAGTATTCAGCCGACTTTACCGCCTAAAAACCGTTATCCGCAGATGAAGTAATTATTTCCGTAATATTATTATACCTCTTGCATACTACGGAATATATTTGCCCATATTTATGAGCTTAGTGCCACAAGTTTGCATATAATTGACATTTAAGCAATTTCGCATAGCTCATTGAGTATTAGTATTTGGCCATCAGGCTCAAATATTTTTCGGAAACAAGCAGAAAAAACACTCAAATTTATGGCAGAAAAATATAATTCACACACACATATGTACATACACGCGAAGTTTGTAAAAACAGCAGTTATGCAAATATAAAATTAAGCGGCATACACAACAACATTACAACAATAAAACTAAAAGCGGCCGCAACCACAACGGCGACAAGTAAATTATTTACAATTTCCGTACACTATGCATTTCAATGAATATAATCACATTTTATTGCCATAAAGTTTCTAAATTTGCTGATAAATTGCGCGCGAGTCGGTCGAGAAGAAACGACCATTAGCAAAAAATCAAAAAACAAGAAAAATCGTTGCACCGAAGCAATAATACCCTTCACAAATACAAAAAATTCCTTACAAGAACTTGGTTTTGATCGTTCAGTTTGTATGACAGCTATATGCTATAATAGTCCGATATCGTCAGTTCCGACAAATGAACAGCTTCTTGCCAAGAAAAGGCGTGAGCGAAATTTCAGATTAATAGCTCAAAAACTGAAGAGCTAGTTCCCGTATATACAGACAGTTGGACAAACGGACATGGCTAAGTCGACTCAGCTCGTCTTGCGAATCATTTATATATATATACTTTAAAGGGTCTACGACGTTGCTTGCTGGGTGTTAAAGGGTATAAAAATTCAAATTATTATGGAAAATTACCGCAAAAAAAACTGGTAGAATTACTCATAACGGCATTAGCCACGATGAGGGTAGTCATAGACTCATGAGCCTATTCAACCGTACGCTATAAGCGCGAATACCAATACAATTATATATGTATGGATTTGTTGCGCACACACACACAAAAACGCTGCGGCAGTAACGATGTATGTGGTCACATGACATTATTCAGCATTTATGTAAACCAAGTCAAAATAAATTTAGCAATTCACGAGCAGCAAATGGCAAAATGAAAATGGAAATAAATTGTTGCTTGGTGAAAAAGCATGCCGGTCTTACATACATACAAATAGGTATACATACATACATCGCTAAGTGAGCGCACTTATGCGCTCGCCGAGCAATTGAGTGACTCTAAATGCAATGTGATTAAAATTTTTTGCAAATTTAATACTTTCCTAAACGAAAAAGATGTAGAAGTATATGCAACAACTAAAAATGCACAAATGTCTATATATTTATTGACAAATCTAAACTGCACTTCACTGTTAATGTTGACTGCATAAAAGTAGACTTGAACGAAAAACGAATGAAACCTTAAAAACTATCAAAAATAAATCAAAAAATTATATAAAAATTCTACCAAATATTGCTACCGCCGCCTAGCCTTGCCACCGAACAGTATCGGTATTTTATGGTGGAAAAAATATCCGGAAATCATAATTGAGTAGTTGATTTGCAATAGCTGACATTTTTACAGCTTCCTTTCACCCAAAAAAAGAGCCCTGCAACAGCATCTAGCAGATACAAAAAAAAAATTTTAATAAAATGGTTACGCGACATTGTGAATCTGTGATAACTGTATTGGCGATTGGCAATACAATTCATTCAAGTGTACGAATATGCCTGGCGGTAGATTTGACTGTGCACAAAAGTAATTAGTTACAAAATGTCAGTTCGGTAACTAATTTCAAAAAGATGTGAAATTTGTGTTTAACAAGTCTTTAGAAACGACGAAAAAACAAAATTAGTATTTTTGAGCGAAGACTAGTCATTGTTCAACTTTGATATATTCAAAGTTACCACCATTCAAAAAACAAGAAACCAAACGTGAGAAATTTAAGAAAGCCCTTCATAAAGTATTATCATATTTATTTATTTATGTTAGTAAATTAAGAAATTTTTCAAATGCAGTTTTCAAACAAAATTTGATTTAAAAATTTTGCAAAATGTGTGCTAAAACTGAATAACTAATAAAGCACTCTGAAAATATTCTGTTTAACCATAATTTAACTATGTTAATAGTTTGATAGAGTTACCAACTATTAAAAAATATAATTGAGTAAAATATTTTAATAAATGTGTCAAGCGTCACAGTTTCCCAGCAAGTATTCATATATTATTTAACTTAGAAAATTTTTGAAATAGAATTGCCAAAAAAAAACAAATTTTAAATTAACAAAATATATAAGTCATTTAAGAAAGACTTTCAGAAAAATTTCATGTAATTTGCCATTCTATAAATATAATGCAGCTGCCACATTTTGGAAAAAAAACACAAAAGTAAATAAAAATGTATTATTGCTATTTATACCAAACGTAAAAGCATAAGGCTTTACAGAAGACGTAGAAGACGGCGATGTATCCCACAAAGGAATTTACAGATAACAGAACAACATCATAACATAACACTAATATGGAATACCAAAACGCTAATTAATTTCAGATCCAAATTTATGAAGTTAAAAATATAAATATAAAAAATATAAAAGTTAAATAATGTTGATTTACATTATTTTGCTCCCACTTTATCATAGTACAATAAATTGGATTTTTTAATTTTTTCATGAATCAAAAGTCTCCATAAATTGTACAAAAACTGTGGGACTAGTTCGCGTATATGCAGACATAAAACGAAAAATTCGGTTTATTAGTGTTACTACCTACCTTATCAAAGTTAATATTTAAGTTAATAAGTTGTGGAGAGTCCATATCTTCATCACAAATGCTCCTTATGCTAAGCAAATCTTCCTTTCAACTTATAAATACGACTCGTACAACCGAAGTACGTAGTACTCAAGATATCTCACTCTGTCTCTCTCTCTCTCTCTCATAACAACAGTAGTTTTCTATTTGTTAAAATCCACTCTCACCTCAAATTCATTTAGTTGCCAACTACTCTGGCGTCAGTCTCAAATACTGCATGTCAAGCACCTAACTGTTTATACATACGCATGTAGGTCAATTGCGCCAGAGATTTATTAAATTTTCCGTCACGGAAGGTAAAATCTGATATAAATTTATAGCTGTTTTTCAGAGCCAAACGATTGATAGCCGTGGGCGAATGTAAATGAATGAGATTGAAATGTTTTGTCATAGGATTTTTTACACTTACTGTATGTGAAAAACTTACGATTAGGCATAAAATGATATTTATGGTTTGCCATTTTATTAATAAGCTCAGATTTTCAACGGGAAAAAATTGTTAGTATAATTAATGTTAATAAGTTGAGTCAGCGATATTTATACAGAGAGCTTTTGAGGATTTGATTACGAATATGCTGATAATGAACATATTCTTAGTGATCTTATAAAAACTTTTGGATCTTTCTTTTACAGTTAAATGATAAAAAGTAAAAAATACGAAAAAAGTTAACTTCGATTGCACTCAGGCTATAATACCCTTCACAAATAAAAAAGTTTTTCATACAATAGCTTGATTTGGATCAGCCAATTGTATACTATAATGGTTCGATCTAAACAATTTATTTAGAGATTATAGCATTGGTTTGGACAATAATCCGTGCGAAATTCCGTGAAGATAGCTTCTCAAATAACAAAGTTTTGATCAGTGAGTTTGTATGGCAGTGGATACTTTAGTGGTCCAATATAAGCGAATCCGACAAATGAGCTTTTTACGGAGAAAAGGTAAAATTTTAGTTCGATATATCAAACACTGAGAGAATATTTCGCATATATAAAACGGACATGGCGAAATCGAATAAACTCTCATTTATAAACATATATACTTTATTGGGTTTCCGGCGTTTCCTTCAAAATCTTACAGACTTCGTAGCAAACTTAATATACCCAATATTATTATAGAAGGATTTTCACCATCTAAAGATTTTTAAACAATTTTTTTATGGATTTAACATAAGCAGTATTTCTACAGCCGCTTCGTAGAAGCTGAAAGCTTTTCACAGTCAACAAACAGTGTGAAGAATCCTGCCAATCAGTTCAGTCTTTCGTTAAAATTTTTTTGTTTTTGAATAGCCATTTTAAAAGCCATATTACACCGCAACATGCAGCTTGCTGTACCGCTAAAATCTCTTCATTCAACTCGAGTAAAAATTTCAGCAATTTTCCATCTCTAATACCTACAGCGCTTCATATACATATACATATCTACATAAAATCACCTATAGCTTAACCGCTTCACACTAACATTTTGTTCACCCCTCTTTCAATTGTAGATGAACCGCTTAGCGCCACTAACGCCGTGACCGCACCTGGCCAGCACACGCAACCCTCCTACGCTGACGCCTTGCCGAGTGCATTCCATTGCCCGGCCGAAGGTTTGTATGCCGACGATTATGACTGTCGTATCTACTACCGTTGCGAAGCGAAAACAAATGACTACATCAAAGCTTATGCATTTGCCTGCAAATCTGGCACCGTATTCTCGCGCAACCTGCGCCTCTGCATGCCACCCCAGCTGTCCGGACGCGAGGAATGCAGCGATTACATGAACGAAATTGATACGGACAATGGCGATAATGGTGTTGATGGCCAACAACTGCCGCTACTGACATATGGCGGTGCTAATAACGGTAATGGCATATACGCGACCGCAAGCGATACGGATGCGAATGCCGACACCGATGCTGCTTCATTCGCTGCCGCTGCGGCTGCCGCTGAAACTGCAACGCGTGGTCAATTGCAAAATTATGGGCTGTCAGGTTTGGGTGGCGTTTCCGTTATTTCCTTTTCCACATCAGCGGCGCGTGCGGTGGGCGGCAGTGCCATCGACGAACAGGGACCACCTTGTGAAGATGACGGATTTATGAGCGATCCAGACGATTGCACAATCTTCTATCGTTGCATTTCGAATGGTCGGACTTTCAATAAAATCGGTTTTCGTTGCTCGGACGGCACTGCGTGGGATGCGGCATTGGAATCGTGTAACCACATACACAACGTACGTGCCAGTGGTGGCTGTAAAGAAAAGTCTGATAATTTAGTATTGGCTGACTATGACGCGGCTACAACTCAATCAACGCAAACCAACAATCAGAATACAACCACATCGAGCAGCAGTAGCCAGCAGAGTTCGACTAGCTCATCCTCAAATACGTCCTCATCATCATCATCATCTTCATCCTCGTCAAATACTACGAGCTCAAGCGCGTCGAATACTAGTGGTGCAGGTGGCAATCAGCAGCAAACAAGCACTCAATCAAGCAGCACTGAGAGCAATTCGTCCAACCAGCAATCGACTTCGAGCACAAGTTCAAATCAGGGCGCCAGTAGTAATCAATCAAGCGGTATCAATCAATCAAATTCCAACAATCAATCGCATTCAAGCAATCAGTCTGGCAGCAATAGCTCCAATAATCAATCTAGTTCAAACACTCAGTCTAGTTCAAGCAATCAATCGGGATCCAGTAGCCAATCAGGATCAAACAATCAATCTAGTAACACGGGGCAATCAACAACAAGTAACCAGTCTAATACAAATAATCAATCTAATTCTGGCAGCCAGTCAGGCGCAAATAATCAATCCAATACCAGCAATCAAACAGCTTCGAACAATCAATCTTCTAGTAGTAGTTCTAGTAATCAATCTAGTTCAGGTAATCAATCAGGTTCAACTAGCCAATCTGGGTCTAATAATCAATCTGGTAGCAACAATCAATCAAGTTCAAGTAATCAGTCTGGTAGCAACAATCAATCAACCACAAATAATCAATCTGGTGGTAGCAATCAATCAAGTTCAAATAATCAATCTGGTAGCAACAATCAATCAAGCTCAAGTAACCAATCCAGTGGCAATACGCCCAATACGGGCACCGAATGCAAAAATGACGAAACTTACATTCCCGATAAAGAGGATTGTACCAAATTTTACCGTTGCCGAGATAATGGTAATGGTGGTTTGGAACAAGTGCCGTTTACATGTGGACCCGGCACTGTTTGGAATCAAGATGAGAAAGTTTGCGATATCCCGACAAGCGAGCAAAAAGAGAAATGTAAGGCGATGCTAAACATAGGTGGCACAAACACCACCAGCAGCAGTGGTCAACAATCACATAATCAACAATCCGGTAGTGGCCAACAGAGCTCCAACAACCAAACTACATCGGGCAATCAAACAATCTCGTCAAGCAATCAATCATCTTCGGCTGGTAATCAAACGAGCACCACAAACCAATCATCTACAAGTAACCAGTCGAGTTCATCCAACCAATCCAATATTAATCAGTCAAATCAGCAGCAGTCAAATAATCAACAGCAGCAGCAAACAAACCAAACGATCACCACTCAAAAACCGCCCAATCCGGAAGGTGATTGCAAAGATACCGAAACATACTTAGCTGATAAATCGGACTGTCGTCGCTTTTATCGTTGTGTCGATAACGGCAATGGAGCGTTTGATAAGGTTGCTTTCGATTGCGCGCCCGGTACAGTGTGGGATCCGGATATCTTAGGTTGTAATCATCCGACGGATGTACAAAAGGAGCAATGTCGTGTTATGGCTAGTGATGGTAGTAGTTCAAATGCGGCATCAAGTGAACAATCTTCGAGTTCAAATCAACAGTCATCAGGAAGCAATCAATCTAGTTCAAATCAACAATCATCAGGTAGTAGTCAGTCCGGCTCCTCAAACTCGACACAGGGAACTTCAAGCAATGAGCAATCGAACACATCAAGTGGTACAAGTTCAAGTCAGCAGTCATCATCAAGCAGCACGCAATCATCCAGTTCAAGCAGCAGTCAGCAGAATTCAACAAATCAAACCTCACAAAGTTCCAGCAGCAATCAGGGCTCCTCCTCAACTCAGGCTTCCTCGACAACGCAAGGCACATCGCAAGGTTCCTCAACCAACCAACAGGCCACCACAGCACAAGGATCAAACAGCTCGCAGTCGACAACTACAAGCCAAGGATCAACAACAACACAAAATACTACCTCCACAACTACAATTCAATCAAAGCCATCAGGTAATTGTGACAATAAAACAAAATTTGTGGGCGATGAAAAGGATTGCGCGAAATTTTATCGATGTGTCGATAATGGTAAGGGCGGTTATGATAAAGTAGCGTTTACATGTGGACCTGGAACTGTTTGGGATAGCGCAATCGTCGCTTGTAATCATCCGTGGGCGGTGAAGGATAAAAGCTGCGGCACAGGAAGCTCCAGTCAGCAGTCACCAACAACACAAACGACTCAAGCACCGCAAATTTCGAGCACCACAGCCACTTCTCAGCAATCTACAAACCCATCCACACAAGTACAAAAGCCTACAACTCCACGGCCTACCCAAACTACGAATCCTCCCAGTAATACTACACAGTCACCTATAAGTGCACCACCCACTGTAAGCACTCAAAGACCAATATTGACGCCTGGTATATGTCGAACGGAAGGCTTTATTGGCGATCCCAAAGACTGTACCGTTTTCTATCGTTGTGTAAGCAACAGTCAGGGTGGCTTTACGCAATATCCGTTCAAGTGTGGAGATGGCACTGTATGGGATGACAAAATACAGACATGCAATCACGACTTGAATATGTGCAATCCAAATACTGGTACGAGTAAACCCACCATCACTGCTCAAGGCCAGGTTACGACAGCTTCATCACTTTCCACCACGCCGGTCACATCTCAGCCCACCACCACTCAAGGGCAGACTTCAACGCATACTCCAGCTTTTGAAACAACCACACAGTCTATATCAACACCAACTACAAGCAGTGGACAGCACACAACTACGGACATAACTGGAAAACCAACCACAGAATCAACTCAAACGCCATCGACTTGGACTACTACAGAGGCTATTTCGACAACATCGTCACCTACAAACCCGACCGCTGCCTCAACGGAACCTTCCACAAGCGATTCAACAACAACATTACAGCCAACCTCGACCACGCCGGTACCGAATTTGCCACCAGGACTAACTTGCGAAGGTGAAGGCTATATAGCTGATCCAATGAATTGCAGGAAGTTTTATCGTTGTGTCCGAGATGGAGATTCATACACAAAATATGAATTCAGTTGTGCCAAGGGTACGGGTTGGAGTGAGGATAAACAAACTTGTGATTACGCGGTAAATATT